GATGAAATAAATTTGAGAAGAAAAGAAATACCGGGTAGCGATAGGTACTTGGAAGATGGGGGCTCAAAAGCATACCTCAGGGACATGGTCGTTGGTCGCCATTACAGCCAAAATGGATTTGAACCTGAGGAAGATCGCTCAAATGAAAGCTTGATGGGGCAGGAAATTTGCTAGGGTTGAGGCTTTGGTGATGGTGGCGTCGGCTGTTAAGATTTGCTCGAGAAGGAAGGAGAAAGTAAACGGGCTGAGTAAGTTGGAAAGGATACTATTGGCTATTATATAAGGATCGGACCGGGAAGTCAGGAGCCACGCGTATATCTTAGAACGCAACAGTTGCGGCGTGATAAACGAATAAATAAGAATTTTGGAATAAAATCATTTTTATCCCAAAATTGGGGGGCATGTGTTTACACCAAATTTTGGAAAGAAGAATGCGGGAACTCAAAGCTTCTAGAATCGTGCCGATCAAGGAATCGATTGCATAAGGATCGATATCAGCTGATTCGGATGCAACACTGGAATCGGCTCTCTTTGATGATGTCAGCAGATAACGATAATGAGCTACGGTTGGCGTCGGAAAATATATATTGCACTCTATAAAAAGAGAAAGATTAGGGTCCAAATTATCTTAAGATAGGATTGTTTTCTTATATACCAAAGATTGTAATAAGTCATACTCGAGTAGGATTCATGTTTAGGCTCCGGGTATAAATATTAGACCCCGGCTATTGTAAAGGACACACAATCAATTATATACAAGTTACTTACTTTTTTGGCTCCGGCTACCCCTTAGGAGTAGGAGTAGAGTAGATCTCGGCGAGTTCTTCAGCGAGCAGGGCTGCATCGGTTCGGCCGACCTCCGGTTTGTCTGTAAGTACCATCATGGCTTATACTTATGTTCGTATGGCTGCATCGATCCGGTCGACCTCCACTACGACTCTGGTATAAGCTAGTTATCGACTCTTGTCTAGTTCAAGTACGGCTGCATCGATCCAGTCGACCTCCACTGCTCGAATTAGATTAAGGTCAAGTTATCGGCTCTACCTAAGAGTAGCAACCATTGGGTAGATTCATTAAGTTACCGATATTGCTGATGTTTTTATCGTTATTAGCTTGTAGCAACATCAACCTGCCCGGTCGAGATCGATCTAGATCGGCCTTATATCCTTTTAGTCCGTTGTTTGCCTTATTACAACATGATATTTCTTACTTTGAGCGACGATTCACGTTTTATCGGCTGTTCTATTTTGATCTTGATCGTGCATAGTACGCGGTTAAGGCACGAATGATCTTGGGGAGGTTTGTTGGCTAGTTGAATCTGGTCTACGGTTCACTATTATGGTTGTAACGATCCGGTCGATCCCCACTGATGGCACTTTAGATTGGAGGATACTAGTTAGTAGATTTGTTCTCGATCAGACGCGACCTTAACTGTTTGCTATGCCTGCATCGGCTAAATAGCCGATCGCCTATGCGTTAACGTCTACAGTATGTTTACATGATTCTGTTAAACATGAATAGATCTATTTACTTTAAAGGTTTGATTTGTTGTCTTTATCACAGCTACATCGATCCGGTCGAACCCCACTGTTAGAGATAGCAGGTTAGGTCTGATGAGTCCATAGGTCTGTCCATGTGAAATAGTCGATTGTTCACACGTTGTAGTTCTCTTCACCTGAATCGGCTATTTTCCGAGCCTTCACGTATAATATGTCTTTCGAAAAGCCTGTCGAAGTGTAGATGGTTTTAAGGATTCTTCGGTTTTAGTTTGTTATTGTCATCATAGCTGCCATCGATCCGATCAAACCTCACTGTTGATGGTAACAGATTAGATTCAGAGCATCTGTAGATCTGTTTGTATTAGATAGTCGATTTGTTCGTGTATTATATCATTTCTCGTTAGATTCATCGGCTCAATGATTTATATTGGTAATATCCACCTAGCTGATGATCTCATTTACATATACGTGTATTGTACCTGTCAACACAAAATTAATCGCAACCCACAAGTTTTACGGTCCGTAATAGCCGATTTCTGTGCGTATCGGCAATTTAATCGTTCTTCCCGTATGGCTACTCCCGAAGCGGCACACTTGGAACTGTCTGGGCACAGACCGGCACGTTCCACCTTAAATTACTCATAAACTTTCTCTCCTTGTTAATTACATGGTCAAATTAACTGGCACATCTCGGGAGGAATACGCAGGATCGATTATCACTGCGTTGAAGCTAGGCGGATCTCTAGCTCCATCGAGTAGACCATTCCGGCTTGATCGTGTGTCGACGTGTTTCCGTGTCGATAGTGTGTTAGCTTTTCACAAATATTTTTAAGGAGTTAGCCACTCAACTTGCCACGTCACTCGATCCTAGCAACGATGCAAAGTTAGATCACTCGAGTGGCACTAGATGATCGATATGCAAACAAGTTTGCTCCTCTTAATAGTACGGCCATCTATCCTAAACCCGGTCATCAACTTCTCTACACACCTATGACCGATGAAATAAAATGCCCTAGGTTATACCTTTGCCTTGCGCATTCCATTCCATCTCCTCCAATGTTGATGCAACACATGTACCAACCAATAACCAAATGATATGATCCACTTCATATCATCACGTGACCGTATTGGTTCATCGATCTTGACTTCACTTGCTTTTCACCGTTGCCTTCGTCCATCGGCGCCAAGTCTTGCTTAAGCTTCACCGCCATGCGGTCCATCGCTCCAAAGCCTCCAACTTGCCCTTCACGCTTGCAACCGGTCTATCAAGCCAAGTCATGTCTTGATCTTCTCCACCTTGATCACATGACTCAATGTCATGTCTCATGTGCAATAAGCTCCTTCATCATCACATATGTGAGCTTTGCAACATCTCCGAACCATTTCGACCTCCATAGCATATGTTGCTTACACACATGTATCTGTGGACTAATCACATGTGTATCTCACATAAACACAATTAGTCCACCTAGGGTTGTCACTCAATTACCAAAACTAAACAAGGACCTTTCACCCCTGCATATCCTTGAGAGTCGGGAGACTACTCCCACCTAGTTGGGTAAGTTTTGTGTAGTACATTGTGTACTCAGGATTTTATTTCCCCTGTTGCAGGTAACAGGTGGATGCTGGAGCTAAATGTTGTGTGTGGATACCTCCTGGTGCACTCAGCGAGGCTTCCTTTGTCGCCACGATTGTAGAAGTTTTACTCTTCTATCTCTACTTCTGCTTCAATATTCAAAATTGTTAACTTCCGCTGCTTTTGTGTAAAATGACCTTCTTCCGCTGCTTTTACGAAAATCTGTTTTGTAATAACTCCGATTTTATGTAACATTGTCATGTATAAAATGGTTAAAAATGTTGTAAGCTTTATTCACTTATTTATGATCCTAATGAAAACGTGGTTACTCGAGTTCTCCTTCGGGTGGGCTTAACAGACTACCGGGTTTAACTTGATGTCTGGTGCACTTAGTGTGAAATGGATGACAAGTATACTTGGGATTAGGTTAAATTGGACGGTTCTGCTACAGTGCCGACTCTCCAATCGCCATGTTCTTTTCTCTCTCTTTACATTATACATTTATATTTGTGCAATTACTTTAAAAATATCTTTATATTCTTAGAATTGTCATTCTAGTGTAGGATTAGAACTAGGTTGCAAAATTTTGTACGTAGGCTAGAAAACACAATTTAGGCACAAGGGAACTTTAAATGGGCTAAGTGATAGGCTTTATTTTCGCCCAATCCAACCCCCTCTAGGACATCTTGATCCTTTCAAAATCTACTCAAACTTGCTGTCTTATCTTAGATCAAATCTGCACTAACTCAAGTGCAAAGATGAGAGTTTTCCATTTCTACTCATCCACCTTTCAGTTTGACTAAATCCATGTGGATTTAGGATAGTCGTCCAAGATGAACAAGGGAACTCACATCCTCAGTTGAGTCATTAAGATTGAAATCCTACAACTAAGACTAAGTTTGAAGGAACACTGAGTATACACACAACTATAATATTTTGCTTTTGGTACATATTTCCTCTTATACTTGAGCGAGGAGACAAGGAACACGAGTAATGTTGGACGATGGGAGTCTTGTCGTAATGATATATGGAGTATATGTTTTTTTTAGACGAAAGAAGAATTATATTAAATAATAATAGCTAGGTGCATCATCACGTTACAAGCATTGTGGAATACATTACATATATTTAAAAACTAATTTTCATCTATATTGTACCTATGTTGTGAATAGCTCCAAATCTTAAAACCCAAACCTGTATGACGCTTCGTATGAATGACCGTACAGGCAAACACTCGGCAAAAGACATAAGAACAAATGTCCAACAAACAATGGCCAATATCCTTACAGGCGGAGATGAGAATCTTCTTTTTTCTTGGGTCTTCTTTCTTCTTCTTTGTGCCACCGAAGAATGAGGAGGACTGATCTAAAACTTATTCTCCATAATCCTTCATCGCGGTCAAATCTAACCACAACAAAAGGTAGAAGAGGACGGAGAAAATTATTCCATGGTGGCGACATCATCTCCGCCTTGATGTCGCCGTTCGAAAAGAAAAGTCTCTATGTCGTCGTGCCAATGAAGTTGTTGACGCCGTAGTTGTCGCTCTCATCTTCAACAGAACCGCAACAGAGAAAACGATTCCACCCTGCCCTCTCGCCATCACCAGAGAGGAGGAGATAAATCCTCAATACAAAAAAACTTGGCATCGAGAGATCATAACCCTAGGACTCGATCTACTAAAAAAACTTATTAAAAATAATGGATCCCCACTCCCTCCGGTCTCTGGCGAGATGCCGAAGAGGAAGGGAGGGGGACCAGCGGTGGTGGAAGGCGGGTGGCGGCGGTGGTGGCACTAGGGTGAGTTGCGTGGCGATGGGAATCAATTCTATGAGCAATGATATATATGGGGCGCACGAAAGTGTGACACAGGACCACAAAGTGACCCATGAACATGAAATAAAATGCATGTGTTTCGGGGAAGTATATCACTCTTTTTCACTGTAACAGAAGAAGGCATAGAATCCTCCTCCGATAGTGGTGAAGGCCATGAGCCAAACTACCACGGCCACTACGGTGGGCATGACGACTGCAACCTTAGTCGTAAATAGTAGGGTGAGCGCTGTCGTGAGCACCCAGGTAACTACTTTGAGACGGTCCCTTATTAGCGAACCAGGCTCGGCGCTCTCATACCACCTGAGACTGAAAAAGAGCATAAGCAAGTCTAGGTAGGAGACGACGACGTACGCAATGGCCCATCGTTCACCCTGGGACCGGTAGATGGCCATCCCAGAGTTAAACGTGAGAAATAAAATTCCAAGGATAGTGAGCCACGAGACGCTCCCATGGTGACGGCGCTTGGCTGCACCAGGAGGACGCAACCTACCATCAACAACAGGTTGCCCCAAGAAGGGTTGCATCCCAGGATCAAGAGCCTCGGTGTCGTGCTGAGCTTGGTGCTTGGCCATCGACCACGTCGTGCTGATAGCCACTCCGAGCACACCACTAGATCGAGAGCGTTTTGAAGTTCCAGTAATCCCCGTTCCTTTTATAGCGAATTTCTCGCTACCGCCGGTCGTCGGCTAGCTCCTGGTGGCGAAGAAATTACAGCCACCGCAACGCGATTACGACACGAAAATCTTCGGGATTTCCCACTAGCACACGACATGAGAAAGTTGGTGGAAGTCGACTATTTCGCTGTCCGATTTCAAATTCAAAATGCTACGGCTGCACGGATATGTGATATAGGATGAGTCACGCACGAAAGCGCGACCGGCCGGCGCGCTGACGCGTCCACATTGGCTTACGTACCAAGCACGCTAGCTGCACGCGCCGAGTCTCCTCCGTGTCTTTCCACGGTGCAGTGCGTAGGAAGATTCATCAGAAGAGCTGGCTGGATTTGCCATGGTCTTAGGCTACCGATCTAGCTATAGAAACCCGTATTAGCAGCCTCACTTAATTACCGTGTTTTAAAAACCCGGAGGCCGGAGCATGCATGAGTGATGAGTCTTAGAGAGATCATCCATCTATCTCTCGACGGAAAGAAAGGCCTATGCACCACTTTATTGAGTTATAGGAATTTTATAGGATTCTCCGAGGGGAAGTATTCTTGTCCGATGGCTTTCTTTCTCCTTTTGCGGGTTTCCAATGCGATATGCTTGGTCGCTTGCCGTCCATGACACGCTATGTTTTCTTTTTGTCCTTTTCTTGAGACAACCATTCACTAAGCCACAGTCAACCTGTCTGTAGCATTGGACAATAGTATATTAACAATCGACAATTGGTCCGTATAAATTTGTAACGTCGGTCGCTATTTTTTCTTGTACAGACTATAAATCGGTCGGTACATATATATATTTAGCTATTTTCTCGGACCATCGGTCGATAAAATATATGTTAGAGTTAAACAACCGGTCGCTATAGCCTGGTTTCATTTAGGGCACTCAGCCTAGCCCAGTCACATGCAAAGTAATTTTTATGGCCCTCCTGTTAGACGTAACACCCAAAACCCTATCTCTTGCGTCCACACACCAGCAGTTCCACCACATCAATCCCACGCCGCCGCCGTTGCGCTCATCGAGGCCTCACAAGCGCGCCTCCCAGCTCCACGCTGCGCTCGTCGGGGGCGCTCCCTTCCTCTGTTGTCGGCCCCCTCCCCCACCGTCCCCGACACCGCTTTCCTACATTGCTCAGGGCAAATCGAGAGCTCTCGGGTAGGGGGGCCATGCAAGTTCCGACAGGAGCCCTCGCTGTCAGTATCCTAGCTAGTCGCGTTGCTCGTCGGGTCCTTGGGTCCCGCTGCCGCCACGGCCATTGTCCCTGCCCAGTCTCGTCCTTCGCCGTTGTCGTTGCCGTAAGATGGATTAAAAGGCTTGATGGAGGCAGTAGGCAGCATCCTTGATGGTGTGAACAAGCAGCATGCTTGATGGTGTGAACAAGCCATTCAGAGCCCTCATGGAAAATGGACTAAAAGGCGTGGAGCAATAGGATGTGTTCTTGGTCTGTAGTTTTTGATTGCTATGGTACACAGGCTTGGCACTTCTCTATAGTGACCATGTTGTGGTGGCTGCCTTGTTGTAAAATTTATCCAAAGTACAATTGTACAGATGTTAATTTTAATGAAATATATGAGATGTGTTTATACAAATTATGTGGTTGATGTGTAATGTGAACTATGTTAAACAAGCCTAAAATTACATGGCTAATACGAAATTTAGTATACATAATTATTGTGCCAGTTTATAGAGATGGATTGTTGGTTGGTAAAAAGTTTCATATCCTTAACCCATTAGTCACTAAAACTTATAACAGATCATTGATCAGTATAAATATCAGCGTCCAATTATGGATCGTATAAGCACTGTCTGTCGGTATAGGTTTATACCGATGCCACCTACCATAAAAGTCGGAGTAGTATTATTTCGACATTGCATTGATAGGAGGTGTCGTTTTCAAGGAAGAAAAGAAATCGGAGTGCCCTGCCGACATGTGCCATGTGCCGTGTTGGGTTTCTTCGAATCCTGCACCATGCATCCGGACTAGACTCACACCCAGTATCCAATCCAAACAGGGCAACAGTAGTTGTTTGCTGCTTTGAGAAGGACGGCCGGCGCTGCATCAAGAAGAAAGAAGCAAGGGACGTCCAACGTGGTGTCTCACTGTCTCGATCTCAACGGTGAGTTAACTTAAACACGGTGTTGATTGGCTGTGAAAAATTTCGAACCTATTCCGGAAACTGGCGCACATTTTTCCTTCGTTCATGTCCAAACTTCTGTTGCGGCTCCTTCGTTCATGTCTAAACTTTTGTTGCTGTTCCTTTTCTTTTAAAGCTGATGTTCCACGTCTCCAAAAAGTTCCTTAAAATTACTTAGTACACACGCATATTACCAAGTGCTTATCATTAGTGAGTTTAGATGGAAAATTTTATTAGGGCTATCTTTTTTCATTTTATATTAATTTGTTTTATTTTTAAAATTAAAAAAAAAGAATTGGGGGTGCACGATGTCGGTGAGCTTAGAGTCAACTGGGCCTTAGTACAAGCCCCGGCTCAGCCCAACAAGGAAATGAGCCATCTACTACTCAGTGCTAATTGAACATTTCCGCCATCTCATAGTACAATCAGGAATCAGCCGCGTCGGCGTGTCCTCAGAGATCGTTAGCTAATTTTGTCGATTCGGAGTGATGCTATCTTATCACGCAACTCGCACAGTTTTCAAAATCCGAACGCTACAAGCGGGTATGGTTCTTTTTGGACTTTTGGTTCAACTGTTTTGAACCTTGAGGGCCAAGTTACCTGACTTTTTTTCTTTTCTTGATCACCTAACCTACCTACCCGCAGACCGTTGTTTATTACGTCGTCGGTGGCGTTAGGTAGGTTTTGAAATTACGAGAGCAGATGAGAAAACATGTTCTTTTCAAGAGGTTCACCAAACATTGTTGGCTGGGTCGTTGTTCTTGTTGAGCGAGTTATTAAGATATAAATAGCCTATAGGTTTATGCAAGAGCAGGCATACATCAACTTGCAGATTCACCGCTATTAGAAGCAGTTGCTTGTACGTACGCTAATAAGCAAATTTGTCGGATCACCATGCATGGTCTGATGGTCATACAAATACAAATAAATGAAGAGAAAGTATGGTGAATCGGAAGTGTGGTGTTGGCGTGTTTTTGATGCCATGTCCACTAGCACCCAACAATGTTTTGCGAACAGATCCACTAGGCTAGAGAAGAAGATCAATTCCAGACCTTGTATGAAATTCAGTCAGAACTAGGCACGCCGAATCGAGTACGTTTGCGTTTTGTCCAACGGACCGAATGCGTAAAAGCCCAGAATGCAATGGGAATGCGGACGGATTTGATTCTGCGTTACCTTGGGTTTGAATCTCCGGTTGACGAACGGATCAATCCCTGAGCTGAGGAGAGGAGCGTAGGCAGGGACCCTTGATCCGAATCCGAGCTCGAGCTCGAGCTCGAGCACAGGCAGGGAGGACCGTCGTTGAGAAACTCCTCGCGAGCTCGATCGAGCTCAACCACAGGTAAGGCCGAGACGGAGGACCGTCGTTGAGGAACTCCTCGCGAGCTGGTGCGCGGCCGCGCGCTTCTTCCAGTCGGACTGTCGGCGACGGCCGGCGGGGATCCTGTCGAGTGTCGGCCGCGGCCCACGCGTCGCCCTTCGGGTTAATTTGGTGGGTTTATTCCGTGACGTGATGCTCTTTATACCGGCGCGGCGGCGCATCATGAGGTTGTCACCGACCCTGGGAAAGGTTCGCTCCTCCGGCTTCCGGGAAGGCGAGGCACAGACAGAGGCAGGGCACATATGCCGGCCGGCCGTTTGGTGGCGTATTGGGGTGGACAATCACGGCGCGCCGCCCAAATGCAGCGTAACGGCCCATCGTGTCGTGTGTGCTGCTGCTGCTGCGTGTGCGTACGTCACTCGCTGCTCAGCTTCTTGCTCCCCACGAAAAATGTAAACACCAAAAACATTTGGAATGTATCCATGGGCAAGAAAATAGCGACAAACACCGAGACGAAAAACTGGCTGGAGGAGGAAGCCTGCAGCTCGGACCTCGGAGACGACAAGATTGCGGAGGACCTGTGCCACACCGCGACGAGATTGTTCCTCCGGTCTCCGCCTCTTTGCCTCTCCCGTCTCGCGTTCCTCCCAGTCGCAATTGCGTTCCCATGTCGCAATATCTTGCCTCTGCGGCTCTGCCTCCTTTGCCTCATGCTCGTCGCTCGACATCAACGCCACCGTACCTGGACCCGCCTTTTCTCTATCCGCCTGAGTCGAAGATCCACTGCCAAGGACCGGAGCACCTCGCTGACCAGGCATCAGCTCCCGCTGATTCTTTATTTGGGCCGTTTCTTTTTTCTTTTTCTCTCGGCCCAAACTAACCAGGTGGTAGCTGGCCCGCGTCCCTCATAGTGCACCACTGCTACTCTGTCTTCCGGCCCATGCAACTCCGCTCGGCCCACGCGCCCGACACCATGCGAACGAGCGACAAGCCGTTCTCCCTTTCTTTCTTTCTTTCTTTCTTGTATTTTTCTTTTCTTTCTTTTCTATTCTTCTTTTTCTTTTATTTTCTTTTCTAATTATGTTTTTTCTTTGTTTAATATTATTAATGCTTACTTTTTAATTGTTTGGTTATCCAGCTAATTATGTTCTTTTTCGTTTCATGGTCCGGATTGGAGCGACCCGCTGCAGTCTTCAATTTTTTATGATTCTTTTTTCTTTTCTTTTTTATTTTTCTTTTTGGTGTTGTTTATTCTTATTTCATTTTATTTATCTTTTTTTCTTTTCATTTCCTTTCTTTTTTCTTTTATAGTAATTTTTCTTTTGTTTAATGTTTTCGGTGTTTTTTTTGGTGCTCAGTTGTTCTAAGAAATCATTACATCCGACCGGTCGGACGGGAGTCTCCCATGGACCAGCGGACGTAGGGGTGAAAGTGGTATGGATAATCCTCCGCTT